CTCTTTTGTAGAACTGAGTTAATGGAAAGCTTCCATTTAATCCTCCTAGGCTTGAAGGAGCTCTTGGAATGTCATCCTGAGAGCCACAGGGCCTGGAGAAAGGGCTGATGTACATGCCCTGGAAATGCCATCACTGGCTGCAGTGAGGCAGGGCAGGAACTATCCTTGCTTCTGAGTTGTGACTAAGCACCTGTCAGGATATTAGGGGCAGAATCCCCACGGTAACCCTTCTGATTGACAGGCCAGAGCAGAGTGAGCTTGTGGCCTCTGACTCTCACTGTAGAGTCTGCAGGAGACTGGCTGCTAGGGTGGCTGGAAACAAGTGTCTCTGTTCCAGAGCATTCGTGAAGAAAAGGAGAGGGGGAGGAAGCAAATGCAAACATGACCCCCGCCCCATGGGAAGCCAGCGTGGAGATGATTTATGTGCAGGCTTTGGGAACATGAAAAATATGTGCCTTTGATTTCAAGAATTATGTTTGGTAAACCTCTGGATATTTTCAAATGTGGAAAGGCTGCCCAGATAAGGAGAGTAGAAATGGATATTGTAGAATTAGAAAGGGATTTAAGCAGTCCCCCAGATCCGCTCTGCACAGCACGGCAGTCCCTCCCTGGCTCCCCAGCAAGTGGCCATCGGCCTGGACTCGGTCAGCAGCTCAGCTGGCCCCACCCTGTCCAGCTCTTCTTCCCCAAGGCAGGCAAAGCCGTCTTCCTATTGTGACAGCCCTAGACACCTTGTTCCCATGTGCTTAGGTGCATCCGGAGTTTTCTCTCATCTGGATGGGGTCCCCTCCTCTTGCTGCCCTTCCCATGGACCGGGCACAGTGCTGGGCTCTGAGGGTGCTGTTAGGGCCCCTGGGGAACAAAAATGTCCAGGATCCCTTCCAGCCTGGGGCATCAGACCTGACTGTGGCTGCTGCTTTTTCCTTGTGGGATCTGCTTCAGGTGCTTCGCTTTCCTGGTCTTCAAGGCTCCCAGGATGAGCCTGTGGCTGTATGGTCCTGGTACCAGGACTGGGGCACCTGGCCTTTATGTTGCCACCCTCTTTCTAGTAGCTAAGCCCCACTGCTGACGCATTCAATTACAGCCAACTCTTCTTTCCATCTCCTTGTGTTATTCTGTCTCTTCCCTGGTGGGTCCTGGTAGACCTCAACTCCAGGACAGTACACGGCTCTGACAACCATTATTGTATAGCCCAGGACCCTATTGTATAAAGACCTTCACTGGATTTGTTATACATGGTCCTCCCAAACATCCATCAGCATTGAGTAGGTGTTCCCCCAGTGTCTTTTGGTAGCTGGCAACACCCTGGCACCCTTCAGAGAGGCCCTTCAGGGTCCAAGTGATCTGTTCCTCCAGTTCTCCAAAGCCTAGACCAGCCATGCAGGGGTAGCTCCTCCCCTTGACATTTCCCAGCCATGCTTACCCATCTCATCTGCATGGGTGGCATAAGTTGTCAGCCAGGCACCAGTGGCTCTCACCTGTAATCCCAGCTACTCAGGGGACTGAAATCTGAGGATCATGGTTCAAATCCAGTCTTAGACAAGAAAATCTGTGAAACTCTTATCTCCAGTCAACCACCAAAAGCTGGAGAGAGAGCTGTGAGTTTAGTGGTAATGTGTTAGCCTTGAGTGAAAAAGTTATAGAACAGTGCCCAAACCTGAGTTAAAGCCCCAGGAACAGTCACCCTTCCCCCCAAAATAATTTCTGAGCCAGGTATCTGTGGCTCACACCTATAATCCTAGCTACTCAGGAAACTGAGATCTGAGGATCACTGTTCAAAGCCAGCCCAGGCAGGAAAGTCCATGAGACGCTAATCTCCAATAAACCACCAGAAAACTGGAAGTGGCGCTGTGGTTCAAGTGGTAGAGTGCTCACCTTGAACTGAAGAGCTGAGGGACAGTGCCCAGGCCCAGAGTTCAAGCCCTACAACCGACAAAAATAAATGTACCAAATGCTTTGCTATAATCTGTGATACACTAGATTTCTTAAGTTTTAAATATTGAATTTTGGTTCATTTTTGTCAGCAGGTCACCGCTTTATTAGCAAATGCAGACTGGCTCTGGCTGTTACTTCTTTTCTTCTGAGCCCTGGTGGCAGCCGGGAACCGGGCATCTCCTGTGAAGCCTGTGACCTTGGTTGGGGTTTTTGGTTTGTTTGTTTTTTTCCTCTGAGGGTGTTTGTTTTTGTTTTGTCGGTTGTGGGGCTTGAACTCAGGCCTATGTGTTGTCCCTCTGCCCTGTTGCTCAAGGCTAGTTTTCTACCACTTTGAGCCACAGCTCAGTTTTCTGAGTAGTTAATTGGAGATGAGTCCCACAGGGATTTTTCTGCCTGGCTGGCTTCAAACTGCGAGCCTTAGATCTCAGTCTCCTGAGTAGCTGTGACTGCAGGACTGAGCCACCACGCACTTGGCCTTCGGGTTTGAGGAACACCTGGCCTGCTGCCCCACTATGAACTCTGAGGGGTCCCATCTCCGTGGCCTTGCCACGCAGCAGCTTGTGGTCAGGATTGTGTACAAGCTGTTCCTGGCCAGTCCCTCTGCTGAACCAGCCCTGGCAGAGTACGCCGGCCCTGGCATCCCGAGACCCACCTCCAGTTGCCTCCTGTGAACCGAGGTGGGAAAGGTGTGTCTGTAATAACATTACTCCTATTTTCTCCCACGCAGCCACCTAAGTTCTTATGGGAAGAAACTACTGTAAGGCCCACCAGACATATGCCCAAGACAGACTGACACCCCAGTGTCAGCCAGCCGCTCCCCTGGCTAAGAGGACTCCACAGTGGAAGGAGGCCAAGGGCACAGCGGCTATGCACCCTGCCCCTGCTCCCCAGTCTCGGCAGCTGGGACAGGCCCCCTAAAACCTGAGGCCATCAGTCTGTACTCCCTGTCAATGTGTTTTATTAAGTTACATATCCTGCTTCACGTGGGATGATATGGATCCATCTGCATGGTTTGTATCTATCTGTACACCAGATATACTGTGGTCGGGATCCAACAGCACAAGGCAGCGGTTTAGGGTGACTGAGTCCCACCTGGGTGATGTCAGTCAGCAAGCTCCGCCTCCTGAGTGATGTCAGCAAGCTCCACCCCCAGAGCATTTGCTTCCTCATTGGAAGAGATTGCAATACTGAGTGCCAGGCCTGGGTCAGCAAGGGCTCAGAAGCCACAGTGTTCCAGGCCTTTGCACACACACGGGTGCTCTGATGTCACTAGGGTGCCAGAATGTGTGGCATATAAGGTCATTTAGGGCTCTGTCTTCTTTCTGGGAACAGGTGCCATGTACTGTCCCAGCACCTGGCCCCTTCTCTTTGGGGCCGTTCATAGCATGGGTGTGTCGGAGTCAAGTGGCCCCACTCCGGGAGCTTCCATAGAGAAAGGTGGCTCCATACCACCGTGAGGGCCAGGCAGGCCCTTGGGTGCTTGCTCTCCTCTCTCTTCTCTCCTTTCTTCCCTGAAGTCCATTGTGGGCAGAGCCTAACCTGAGCCATGTGACTTACCTTGTCAATCAGAGTGTGACCTGGGTTTCTTCCCGTCTCTTCCCACCCTCCGTCCTGCCCTTCTCTTCCCACACCTGGGCCCCCACTCTCCTAGAACTGAATGAAGCCTGGCCGGTGGTGGTAGATACCAGGCTAGCCCGACAGTGAGAAGCCCAGGGGGAAATGAGGATGCCATTTCCCCAGGAGCCCACGTACCCAGGCTTCTCTTCTGTTTCTGCTCACTCTGGTTCTCCTGAACATCACCTTCCTTGGGGCAAGGCCTCCACCCCTGCAGGGGCTGCGGGACAGGCAGCCCGTGGCTGACCTTGGCTTAGTCCTAGTGGAGAAGCCAGAGCCATCTCAGCAGCCCGCCTCACTGCAAAGCGCTTTTGCATGAGGGCCACAGAGTCTTCTCTAATGTAGGATTCCAAGAGAATCCATGCTGTTTATCTGTGGATGACTTTGGGGTGAAGAGAGGTTACTGTAATTGAAATTAGGGCCTCGGGTGCTTGCTAGGCAGGTGCTGTACCACTTGAACCATATCTCAAGTCCTCTTTTTGCTCTGATTATATTTGAGATAGGGTCACACCTGGACTGTTAAATTCTACTTTTCATTTACACTTCCTCCTGTAGCTGGGACAAAAGATGTGTGCCTCCACCCATACCCAGCTTCTATCTCTATGGAGATGGGGGATCTTAGGAACCTTCTTGCTTGGCATGGAACCACAACCCTCCCAGGATGGCTCACCCAGAAGCTGGTCAGGACAGAGTCTCATGAAGATTTTTCCTGGGCTAGCCTCACACTGCAACCCTCCTGATTTCAACCTCCCAGGCAGCTAGGATTTCAGGCCCGAGTGCCCACCTTTCTCATGCCTAGGGACGACCTAGAGACCCTGTGGGTTGAGGATGCAGTAAAGGAGCTACGACCCTGGAGCCCCCGGTTCCCTAGTCGAGGCCTTTCCCTTGTGTCTTGTTAGAATCAAGCAGACTGTGAGCTTCAGTCAGCCCTGAGACGCAAACAAGAGTGACCCCTCGTGGCCCCCTCCCACCGACTCAGTCCACCACCATGCCTTGCAGTGGGCTCCACACCCCTGCGGTTGCCCTGCACGCCCACCCTGGGCCCCTCCTCTACCTGCCAGCTCCAAAGCTACACTTTCCTCTGCCTAGACTTCCCATGATGATTTGCTGCTGTCTTCCTCCAGGTGTAATGTACCCTGTCCCCTCCCAGTTGAGTGTCACCTGCTGCCTGCTCTCAGCCTCAGCGTGGCTCCCATCCCTTGTGGCCTAGAGGCCAGATGCCTCCAGATGTTTCCAGGGCCTTTCTCTGCACATCTGCCTGCTGCTCAGGGGATGGCAAGGGGTCTGCCTGCGTCAGGCTGTGGCCCCTGGGATCAGGCCTGGCCCTGTCACCTGCACTGGGTGTCACCCGGCTCCAGCCAGGGGCCCAGTGGTGCTCTCTAGATGGACATCTGAGGTTCCTCAACATCTGTGACGTCTTTAATGCCTTTGTGTCTCCTTTCTTCTTGCAGCAATGGATGGCGTGCCTTTTATGATTTCAGAGAAGTTCTCCTGTGTTCCTGAAAATGTAAGCTATGTGCACAATTCCCCTTTCCCTGCCTGGAATGTTCTGGAAATCATTTTTCCCTGTGTGTCCTCTCTCCTCCTGAAAGCCACCCCCCCACCCTCAAAAACCTCTGAGGACTGTTGGGAGCCAGGGGTGGACTTGCTCATCCGGGGCCCTGTCAGCCGGTGCCTGCGGCCAGCAGGTGTCTGAGCAGGTGAAGGCTCCCTTGCCACACCTTTCCTTGGAGCGTGACAGGAAATCGGTCTTCCTCAGGTGTGTTGGTCCTGTTGGCCAAGTTCAGCCTCGTAACTTGCTTTTTTTATATTTAAGGATGGCAGTACAGGCAGCAAGGAGCCTGTCCCATTTTGCCATCAGAATCTTATTGTGCACAGGGCTTCCGTCCACAGGGGTGCAGGGGGCCTCTGGCTGCCAGCCTCTGCTCACACCCGGCCAACAATGACCCCAGCATGCACGTGAGCACACAAGCCCCCAGCCCTCTTCAGTGACAGAGGGACCAAGAAGGGGCAGACCCTGAGAAACTGCACCGTGGCCGGGCCTGGGCCTCCCGGGGAGCTCCTCTCAGATGGTGCCTGGCCCCAGGATGGCAGTGGCCCTTCCCCGGTGAGGTGGGCCCATCCCTCCGGCCAGTCTGTAAGCTGGTTCCTGGCTTCTATCCTTCCTGATTGCTATGAGTAGCTACAAAGTGCGGAGGCCCCAGTCTGGGCACAAGTTAAAGACCCCTTCAGTGTTTTTCTTGGACCCAGCTTAAAGCCACCCGGCTTGCGATTTGACCTGCTCTGTAGTTTCCATTTTCCTGAAATATAATAGGCCTCCTCTGAACCCTTCTGGTAAGCAGCTTAATCTTGAAAAATGCTCCTGACGTGACATGCGGAGCCTGAGTAACTTCCGCAGACTCTGCCCAGGCCGCGTTGCCATAGCAACCCTGGCGCCTCTCCCGCCTGCTCCCCAGGAGAGGCGGCTCTGCCCTGCTCCCTGCTCCAGTCACAAAGTTGAGTGGAGTAGTTAGAGCCTAATGATGCAGCAGCTGGACCTCAGCTGGACCTGGGCAGCATGGGCAGGCCGCCCATCCTCGCACCGCTCGGCTGGCGGCTCAGAGAGCCAGACTGTTTTGTGGCTACCCAAAGAGCAGCCCAGGAACCCGGGGGCCGGTGTGATGGCTCGGTCCCAACTTTGCCTTCACATGCTGGCTGCTTCTTACTTAGCAAGTGCTGGAGGCCTCAGACACAGGCCCCGCCCAGGGTCAAACCTGCCCGAGTAATTCACTCTACATGTGTGTATGTGTGTGTGCAAGTGTGCGTGCATGCATATGTGTGTGTGTGAGTGTGCGTGCATGCATATGTGTGTGTGTGAGTGTGTGTGTGTGTGTGTGTGTGTGTGTGTGTGTGTACTGAGGCCTGAACTCAGGGCCTGGGCACTGTTCCTGAGCTTCTTTTTTTTCATTCAAACTAGTGCTCTACCACTTGAGCCATAGCTTCATGCCTGGCTTTTTGGTGGTTAATTGCAAATAAGAGTCTCATAGAAGCTAGATACCAATGGCTCACACCTATAATCAAGGATCTAGATTCAAAGCTAGCCTGGTAGCTCAAAGTGGTAGAGCACTAGCCTTGAGTGAAAAAGGTCAGGGCCAGCACCAGGCCCTGAGTTCAAACCCTACAACAACAACAAAAAGTTATCACAGACTGTAATGTCTAGGCTGGCTTCAAACTATGATCCTCAGTTCTCAGCCTCCTGAGTAGCTAGGATTACAGGTGTGAGCCACCCATGCCTTGCTCACTGGCCAGGAAGCATCAGGTGATTTAACCTGCATGGTATCAGCAAGAGATGGATTTGGACTCTGGGTGCCATGCACTGCAGAGCCAGCCTCTCGCTGCCAGCCCTGCTCCCACCCAGGCAGCTCCGGGTCAGACCCTGGAAGTCCTGAGGGTCTGGAACTGTCAGGTTCCACCTTCCCCCTGTCAGCCTGGTGTAGAACAGACAGAACCCCTGTGCCTGGCAGGGATTCGGACCCAGGATCTCACAGACCAGGCGCTCCGAGTTTCAGCCCAGGCTTCAGGGAACCTCTGGATGACCGTTAGTTGCCTGTGTAGTTGATTCCCTTCTTGCTATCCATAGAAAAGCCAGTATTTACAAGGAAAGGTCTCCATCTTGGCAATTTTAGAAACACAATTAAAAAGCAGCCTTGATGTGTTCTTCACTGTTGACCTTGTGCTCTAAATACTGGGCTTTCCCTAACACCTTTTCTGGGGGCCATAGACTCCCTCACCCCCATGGCCACCCTATAGGCAAAGTGGCCACCAAGGCCCCTGGTGACTGCTTGCATGCCTCTGATCAGCTTTCCAGCAAGGAAGAGGAAACTTCTGCCACAATTTTTCCCCCTCTGTCAGCAGTAGAACAGAGGTAAAGCTGACCAGCCCTGGTCACCTCTTCTGAGAGGTTTCAACCCTCCTGGACATGTGACCAGGCAGTGGTCCCCAGCTGACAGGCTGGTGCGATTCTTCCTCCAGCCTTGTTAGTGGCTGGACAGTCCACCTGCCAGCTCCCTGCTGTGGGAGGGGTGGCTTGAGACTTCGCATCTGCCGTGCTAGAAAGTGGATATGAGGGTCTGCTTTCCAGCCATTGACCTGCTCTGTTCTTTCAGATGCAGCCCTTTGACCTCCTGGGAATCACCATCAAATCCCTAGCAGAAATTGAAAAAGAGGTAAGTAAGCCACCAGGAGTGGGGATGGGTAGGCCCGGGCCATTGCTCAATCATCAGCCTCTCACCCCAATCCTCACCCCCCATCGGGAGGCTGTGCCAGGAATGGCAGGGACAGGGTGCCCTTTTGAGAAGGGTAGAAAAAAAAACTGTTCATTTCACTTGTGTATTGCTTAAGAAAAGTACCTGACTGTTCATACACTCCTTGCTTCCAGTGGAACATGACCGGCGCCTTATCTCTGGTCACAAAGCTGGGAGGGTCAGCAAAGGAGGCTGAGGGACAAGGCACAGAGCGTTGTCTTTCTTCCCCTTTTCTGTTCTATTGATTGCTACAAGTGGATCTTGGGGGCTTTGAATGTCTTGTGCATGGAGACACCCCCCTACCTCCCCGCATTGGGTGGCCTGATTTTTTTGAGCATGCTAGGACATTTGCCTGCTACAAAGCAAGGCCGTGCAGTATCAAAGTTGGAGGCGGGAGTGGGGGGGGAGGGGCAGCCAGGCCCCTCTGCTCTGGAAGAGCCAGTCGCCTTCCGTATATGGGAGGCTGTTACGTGCCAGTCCCAGCTCTCCTCAGAGAGGAACATCTGTCTCAAAGATGGAAATGGTAGAACCATTTCAATATTCTCAGATCCTTGGGGTTTTCTCTTGTTGTACCCAGCTAGCACAAGCAGGTTGCATTATTGAAAGATGGCTGAAATCAAGGGAAATTGAATCAATGTACTATCACAAATTTCCAAACCTGTCAGGGCAAAAAGCAAGACCAAAGCCACACATGCGCGTACACCCACACCCCCCCCCACACACATGCACCCTTTGTCTTTGATTTTCAGTAAATCAGAAAAACCGGATTGTCATCTATGCATACTTCATTTCTTTTTTCTTTTTCTTTTTTGTTTGGTTTTGTTTTCTGGTATCTTACCTACCACATTAGAAAACTAGACATGCATAGAATATCATGCCTGTCCTTCATGAAAGAAAGGTAGCTGTGGATGGTTCTAGGGGCCCCTGTTTGTGAATGCAGTCTTTGTTGTTGTTGCTGTTGATCATGGGGCTTGAACTCTAGGCCTGGGCACTATCCTTGAGCTCTTCAGCTCAAGTTCTCTACCACTTGAACCACAGAACCACTGTTTTTTTTGGTAGTTAATTGGAGATAAGAGTCTCATGGACTTTCCTACCCAGGCTGGCTTTGAACTGTGATCTTCAGATCTCAGCCTCCTGAGTAGCTAGGATTACAGGCGTGAGCCACAGGTGCCCCGTGAATGCAGCCTTTTTGAAGTAGGCGGTCAGGCAGACCTGGTTCCATTAAAGACAGACCACAGATAGACAGACACTGGGACCAGCCCCTAGCAGGGGTCCAAGTCATCTCCCTTTTCCTTTAAGGCAGGATAACCTTGGAACTTGTTCCAGAGAGGTGCTGGGTAGATGCTGGCAGCAGCAGGTAACCCACTCTGGGGGGGTGGGGCTGGGTGTACCACAGAGAGGGCAGCGACCCAATGCCAAGCTTTCTGCCCTGTGGGTCTCCACAACACCAGCTATGTGCACGTCTCTGTGTTTTGTGGGCCTCATTGCTACCAACCAAACTGCCTCATCCCCCAACCCCCTTGATGGACAGAAATTCAGCTCCAAGAGGGGAAATCCAAGACAAGGCTGAGACTGATCCTCTCCTTATGGATGAAAATCCATGGGATCACATTCCTCCAAGTAGATCCTCCAGACAGGTGGGGACCGCGGGCACGGGAGGCCTGCGTACCAGCCTCAGCTGAGCCTTTGCATTACAACAAATGAGTGGGTGAGGCGTCTGTGGAGGCCCAGGGTACCTGGGACCCGCTCCCTTCTTGCTCTAGGGACTGAGATCTGATCCCACGCACAACGTCGGGCACTTGGAGTGCCCATGGCACAACTTTCCTTCGTGGATGAGGACCGTGCACTGTCTCACTGTTGAAGCAGTTGAGGTTGCCACCTGGTTTTGGGGGGTGGGGGTGAGGGCACACAGCTGGACTCTAGCAGGGTGGTGTGGGGCTTTCACTTGATCGAGGATGTCAAGGGTCGCCAAGCCCGCCATGGTGGTCGTCTCAGGGAGTTGTATGTTCCATCGGCTCCGCCTCTGCACAGCTCACCCGGGTTGCTGAGTGTCTCGTGCACCAGCCCAGCCGCACCTTCCCCTTCCTTCAGTGCCCGGCTCGGAAGCCCAGGGCCTTGCCTGCTGCCCACAGCTTGACCCTCACGTCTCCCGGAGCAGGTGGGGTGTCTCCTGGAGCTGCTTAGGATCCCCCAGATCTAGCCGGGCTCTCTCAGAAGGTAGAGTTGCCTCTGGAATAGGAGTTGTTTTGTTGTTGTTTTTCCTTTCGTTATTCCCAGCAAGCCGGCTGCCCCTTGGGAATTGGCTTTGCTCTCTGAATGTGTTTGCGTGTTATACCAGTTAGCTAAAACCAAAACTATAAAATAGGCTAAGTAAAGGTGAGAGACTGCCCTCAGATTCAGGGTAGACTTTGTCCCCTGGTCTGTCCAGTGCCTCCCAGGACCCCCACGCAGGGCCTGGGCTGGGCAGCGTGGAAATGCCGCCCCCCCACACCCACACACACACATCACTCAGGAAGCCAAGTGACCTGAGCAATCCCTGCACTCAGTTACGGGAATCAAGCACCTATCCCTGGAGGTAGCATCCAGTCTGACCAAGTGGGTGCTTCCCTGCCACCCTGCAGGGGGCTTCTGAACTTAAGCCAGAGCCCTGTTGCCTTATCTTGTCTTGAGGGGACAGTCACCTCATGAAGGAGCCCCAGAGATGGAGCATGAGTCTCATAAATACCAGCACCCAAGAAGCACAGGTCGCTGCCAGTACAGCCGCCGGGCACTAGAGGGCAGCAAGGGGACCAGTGTCGCCGAGTTTAGGTAAGAAGGCCTTGCGCGCCCGGCCCTTGACCCCTGGGAGGCTGCAGAGCTCAAGGCAGAACAAGACTTAGTCCTCACAGCTGCAGACACAGACAGCAGGTGGGGCACACACACCGGACAGCACCCCAATACTGAGCAAGGCCGGGTGATTTGTGGACAGCACACAGATCTGGCTACATCCAAATCTACCCTTAGGTTTGACCGTGGGCAGGACCCATGGCCTGCTAGGCCTCAAGCTGGGATGCAGGCCTGGTGGTGCCACCCACCAGCACCCATGTCCCTGTACACGGCACGGTGGCACGAAGCCTGGCCCGGGGCTGCGGCTGCCGCGTGCACAGGGACTCCTCACTTACATTGCTTTTTTTTTTCTTCTTTTTTTTTTCTCTTGCCAGTCGTGGGGCTTGAACTCTGGGCCTGGGTGCTGTCTCTCAGCTTCTTTTGCTCAAGGCTAGCACTCTACCACTTGAGCCACAGCACCACGTCTGGTTTTTTTCTGTGATTAATTCCAGATAAGAGTCTCATGGACTTTCCTGTCTGGGCTGGCTTCAAGCCACGATCTTCAGATCTCAGCCTCCTGAGTAGCTAGGATTGTACAGGCATGAGCCACTGGCGCCTGGCTTTCATATTTCATAACATACGCGGACAAGGTCATGTTTGAACGTTAAAATCAATATACATGCCAGAGAGATTTTGCAAAGAAGCAACAACTATATATGTGTGTGTATGTGTATGTATATGTATATGTATGTATATATATTTTATATATATATTTATATATACACACACACATTCGGAAAGCTGAGGCCTCTCTCAGCTCCTGCCTGGGCTGTGATGTGAGAAGAAAATGAAGGAAGGCCTAAGAAACTTAAACTCAAAAGCTATTGCTCTTCTTCCGGCTCCTACTGGCATCCTGAAGTCTCCTGTCTTACCAGGTTCTCCTGAGCCTCCTCCCCGCACTTCCCTGCTGCTTCATGTCAGGGGTGCAGCGTCCTACCAGGCAATCAGGAGCCCCATGACAACCAGAAGGCCTTCTGGCCTGTCCCACCTGCCCCCGTGGGCCCAGCTGTTTTGGGGGAGGATGGGGCTGGGGGCTGGGGGCTGGGGTCCAGTGATACCCTCATTGTTCTCTGGCTGCTCAGCCAGAGCTGCCATGGGGAGTCAGGACCAGCAGGGACAAAGCATGACAAGACAGACAAACATCCCCCAGCCGATGGAGTCTCTCTATCACGCAGGCTGACGGCTCTCGGCGCTCAAGCCAGGCACAGCCTTGCAACGATCCCCTTTCCCTGTCCATGGCCTGTGCCCCGCCCTGGCCCCTCTCCTGCTGCCAGGCCCATGGAGCACCAGGAGGCAGGGCCCGGGTAGTACGTTCTATGCAATGCCTGCAAGCAGAACCTGCAAGCCTTCTAAATGAGGAGCAGCAACCTCAGAGCCCACAGGGCACAGGGCGGCTGGGAAATCTGTGCCTCCCACCTCCAGCGCCACGCAAAGCCAGTTCCAACGTGCCCAGCTGGGCACCGGACCACGGGGCCCACACGGGACCCGCGTGGTGAGAAGCCCGCTCATTAGCCTACCTCGCTTCCTGGTGGAGTAGACAGCCTCCATTTTCATTGAACTTGAAAGCTGAAAGACGAGGGAGAGTCTAATTAGTAAAGGGACGATCTATTATTAATCAGTCCCTTAAAATTGACAAGGGAGGCAGTTCATTTAACCACTTAATTGCTACAGGTTTTTATGGGCTGCTTGCTATTTGCAGACATATTTAATGAAGAAGTTATAAATCTGAGGGAGCTTAAAATTTTAATTTTATACCTAAATATTTTCCTTGTTCTCGTGTTTGCAGTCAGGCCTCAGGAGTGCAGTCACGTGCAATGTTCTTTAAATGAACATATTTGCTAACTGGCGTGATTTCAGTTTTTAAAACATTGGTTCCAGCAATTAGGCTTTTTTTTTTCCCAGTTCCCAAATGACTAGAGAAATTCGTCTTGATTATAATTGCTCTTAGCCACGCATATCTAATTTGTGTCTTTTTAAGTGTTAATTAGTAAACAGTTTGAGCTGACATCTTTATGTGTTTGTGTGTTGAAAAATGGGGCTTACTGCTTATTTAGCTG